CTCATTATAATACATAATTAAATCCAGAGGATTTCTAAAGTTGATTTCTATTAAAATTTTTTGTTGCTCACAGTGAGTATCAGTTTCCCAGGCATTGCAGGGTTTAAGGGAAAACTGCCAAAGTCTTTTTTGCATGAGAAATGGTTCTAGTCAGAGCTCAATGGAAAGCCGTACAAATGCATAGATGGATGGGTTCATAGACGAAAATAGGTTGCTCGAATTTTAGTGAGCAAAGTCTGCACCAATGGAAAGTTTGATCAAAAAAGTAAATAACTCTAGCTTTTGATGAAACTGTGAGTAGCATCAGTTTTCAAACCTCAAACAGCGAATATTGCCAAAGCGGGTCGATGTTGACTCTCTGGACAAGGTTTCGACTTTCATCAACAGTTATTGAAGCGACAAAAACAGGAAGAATTTTTTTGGATGTGATAAAAACAGGAAGAATTAATTTGCATGTAACAAAAACAGGAAAAATTTGAGCTGATATTTCTTAGCTTTAAAGCCAACCCTTTTACCATCGCGCTATCAACGCTGAGAGCTTTCAATGATGAAATCTTTGAGAGCGAAATTTTGCTACTAGTGTGATCATTCTTCATACTCTTCAAAACATACTGGATCAAATCATCTTGTCAATTGATCTTGCCCTAAATGTTGTTACTTTACAAACATGAAATTTTTGAAGCTTATTCTGTGAAAAGAAATGAAAATGGATAAGCATCTAATCTGTTGCTATTCAGTCTCGCACCGCCTCTTATGAAGTTATGCTCATTCTTCATATTTGCCGTGTTATTTTTTGGTCCATGATTTTTTCCGGTCCATGAATGGTTCAAAGGGGGAAAACTAGAAAAAAGAAATTGTTTCAGCTACAGTTATTGCTACAGTTAGCAAGCAGGAACAAAAAAAAATGTTTCTGAACTTATAATTGACAATCCTTTTTTTTTAAAAAAGTCCAATTAACTTGTCAAATTAGTGATATCAGTGAAGACTGCATTGCATTTTGTGCCGAGGTGCCAATTTTTATTTCAACTTTTTCAGCAAAAATTTGTATGTTTCGGCTGTCTGGACCATAAAAAAGGTTTGTTTCGACTTTCTCGACCGAATTTTGTTATTATTCAAAATTTTCGACGCAAAAAAAACAGGCTCGATTTGGTTCGACCGTTTTTAGATATGTTTCGCTTTTCTCGACCAAAATGTTTGGACATGTTTTGAATTTGATTATTGTTGGAGATCAAATAAATTAGTACAAATGCGTAAATCGATGAGCTCATGCAGCTCGAATGTTAGTGTGCAAAGTCTGCGCTATTAGACATTTTGATCAAAACTGTGAGCAACACTAGATGACAGTGTTCAAACCTCAAACAACAAAGAATTCTTTATCGAGGCTATACTCAACTTCGGGACAAGGTTTGACTATCCTTTAGTTTTTGAAGCGTCGATGCTGGAAAAAAAAACGAAACAAATTTTTTTCTCATTTTATTTTCGACCCCGTCAAAATTCCTTGGAAGTCGGAACTTGCCTAAAAACAAACACAACTCTCGACCTCAATTATTATGTTGTTTTTTGTATACGATTTTTCTACACAGTAGATTTTTTACTTTAAGAAACAACAATCATTATTCACATTGAAATTAACAGGTGAAAAACAAAAAATTCACGGGTGAAAAATATTCCCATTTTGTAGCCATGGATCAATAACTTGCAGGCAGTTTTATAAAATCCCTCCGTTTTGCAAGCAAAGATATTGCAACATTTCTGAAGATTTTTCAATTTTTCAATTTTTCTTCAATCACAGAGTTCAAATGTGTTGCAATTTTGCACATTTTCAAATTGTCTCATTTCAAACATATCAACTTGTGAAGCCAATCAACCGACAAAAAAACAAGCTTATTTTGGCAAGAATAAATCTTTCTAATGGCGAGATATTTATATTCCTAACTTTAATTGAAAGTCGGAACAGTAACACGAAAACTAGCTATGAAAAGCCAAACCACTATTCCTTTACGAGGTTAGAAAGAAATAAATCTCTTGTTAAAAAAATTACTCGTATCATTGCTCATGTAAATTACAGAGTGCCGGGTTTTGCGTCCGGCAACATTTTAATGAGAGCAAACAGTTTGCCTCAAACTTTTTTTCATTTGAGTCATAGTCAGATTATTACGCCGCTTACACACTAACTGCCTGCAAACTTACACGTTAACAAAAACTGAAAATTTTGCGCGCATCAGTTGTTCGTTTTTTGGCCGCTTACACGTTAAAAGACAGTTGAAAACTTTGCGCGCAATAATTATCGTTTTTTGGCCAAATTCAATTTTTTTAAACCCTAACTACAATTCAATATTTTTTTTGAATTTTGAGGCATCAAAGTTTTTCAGGAATTTTTGATTAATTCCGTCAAATTTTGTTGAAAGTCGAAACTTGCCTAAAAACAAAAAACAACTCGACCTCATTTATGAAGTCATTCTTTCGAATACTATTCTTCTACACTGATGATTTTTCAATTTTAGGCTCCCGCAACAACAATCATATTCACCTTAAAACGTTATGCTTTTTTCGTTTTTTCGGCCCAGCTGCGATTTCTTACTAGCAGTTTTTTGGGTCCACTTACTTAACAACCCCCCCCCCCCCTTAAGAAAGGGTTGAGATTGTGAAGTAGATCAAATTGGTCGATTTTTTGGACCAATCAGAATGCAGGAAAATTAGATTTCTCAATAGAAAGCTCAGTGCTATTTTACTGTGTTTATTTATAGGGTGGAGATTCTTAAGTAGGTACCATAGGGGAAGGAAGATTGTGTAGAATTAAAAAAGTATTTTTTGATTATAAGTATTTATAAGTATTTATTATGAAAAAAGTGGAAAAAAAAATTGAAAGTCAAAAGTCGTGTTGAGGAAAGGGGTTGCAAAAGGGCTCATCTTTTGTCTTCATTCCACAACTTGTATTATTACTCTTTTCGGCGATTGTCTTCATCAACTAACACTTACGTGAACCCATCAGTATGCATAGTTAGCAAATTAAACGTTTGGTTTTTCCGTAATATCACGCATTTAGCCACAAAAAAACCTAACACAAACATAGAACTTGATATATTTTGAAAGGTGGGATGAGTAGAAAAGAGCCAAAAGTTTTAATAGCACGCCTTAATGAATTATAATTTTCATTGGGTAAGAAACTGGAACAACCGTGTCTAGACTAAACCCGTTGTTTTTGTTCCGATTTTCAAAAAAAACAACGGAATATTTATGCTCGGTGTTTTTTTTATTTATTCAGTCAATTTTCGCCGATCGAAATACTAGTTTTCAACAAAAATTTTTTAAACCCCGTTGAAAATATCGACTTCTTGAGTTCAAGTGTAAGAAGATATTTTACCTTCAATGTTTTTGTAGAGTTCTAGGGAATTAAAATTGCCAAATTGGCCATGTTGTGGAATAAATTATGCGCTCTTTGAAGAGTTTATTCATAATGCTGCGAGCGTAACGCGAATTATTTATGCGTGGTGAATTATCCCGCACAGCAAAATTGTTCCAAATTGAATTAAGGCTAGTTAATTAAAGGACAGTCGGAAATTCAGGGCTTTGCTCTGATATACGAGCGTCTTGTTTGTTACAACGTATGAAGAATAAAAGTGTGCGGAAACGTTGATTTTATCGCATCAAGCAAATGTTCTGTAGTTTGGCTCTTTTGCACTCTCACTTCATATTTTCCATTTTTTAAAGTTGCTTCATGTGTTATTTCAGCTCACATTATGACCGCGTGAAATTAAAGTTGCTTTATGACTTTAGGTGAAAATGGTTTTTTCCAAAACTATTTTTAAATGTGGGGCGAAAAAGGAAAAGAGCCAGTAATTCTTCTTAAACAAAGTTTGAATATGAAGGAAAGTTGAGAAATTTTGCTTAAAAGACAATTAAAAGGGTTCACAGTTTTGGTCTTTCCCATTATAGCCCCCCAGCCTAGTATCAAAAAAATTATAGCCCCCCAAACCTTTCCTATTATAGACCCCCCATCCTTTCCTATTATAGCCCCCAAAGGTTTCTAATTATACTAATAGGTAGATCAAATAATTTTTGATTACATATCCGCATCACTAATATGTTTGTGGAATTGACCAATATTTCTCATTATTTTTGGAACACTTCCAATTTTTTGTTTTTGCAATATTTGTGAAACAAGAATTTCGCTAGGTATGAAACAATCATACTTCTTTCTGTTCCGTACATTTTTTTGTTTTTTTTTTTGCCTTTGCGTCTCGCCAAAGACTTTCAATTGTTTGGGTATGAGCCCCAGTTATCGGATCCACAAAATTGTAAGTATGATTTATCGTTCGGAACGTTGGGGGGGGGGGGGGGGGTTATATTGGGAAAGAACCCACAATTTGCCTATAAGTTGCAATTTGGGCTCCTTTTCCTCCCTCTTCCCTCACATAAGCATCGATTTTATGGTGTAACGAGTAGTTTTACAAGGTTAATTAAGAAGACTAAATATGTTTGTCATAGCCTTAGTCCGTTTGCAAAATTTCATAACAATCCAACAATTTGAACAGAAAAATTACTCTGAAAACTTTGCAGGTGTTGGGGGGGGGCAAGAAAATAGAGCCCCAATTTGTTCTGCCTGTTTCGAATGTTTCTAAACAATTTTGGGGCTCTTTTTCCTTTTTCCCCCCACCTCACACGAGCTTCAATTTATTAGTGTATAACGAGTGGTTTTACGAGGTTGAGTATGAAGACCAAATATGTTTGTCGTGGCTTTATTAGTCTGTATGTAAATTTTCATAACAATCGGACAATGTGGTCAACAAATTTACATGTAAAAATTTGCAGGTGGGGGGAAAAGGAAAAAGAGCCAAATGATGCTGTGTGAAGTGGAAAGGGGGTGGAGGAAAAAGAGCCTTCTTGTGGAAAGAAATGTTTAACCCCAATAACAAAAATGTCTTTATTGATATGATTTAGCTCACGACACATTTGAAGTTCACACGTGCGTTTTTATTTTTAAAGCGCTGACACACAACGTATGTGTTTTCACGTCACTTTATACATATGCTGTTTTTGCAAAAATATATATTTGAGCCACATATAAACTGATCACCTGTATGTTTTTTGTTCTACGTGGTTAGTTTTGTGCATCTTGTGTGTATCTTTAGTGTTTAATCCAAAATATTAACCTTCATTTGTGAAAAATGACGTTAACTTTTTCTGGTTGTTTTTCAATTGAGTTTTCTTGTTTATTAATTGACTTTTAACGTTGATTCGATTATCTTGAAATGGGGGCAGTTTTGAGTGTTCCTGGCGTCGACAGTTTGGGGTGTCATACATTTAAACACAGGGGCAGTGGGAGAGAAACAGTTGCGGAATGTGTGTCGGTCGATTTCAGAAGAGTGCTGCGTTCATCCAAATTCAGGTAGTTTTCGTTCTTTTTTCCATGTCTACTACTAGGTTTTATGAATGTCTATAAATAGATCACAAACCCCTTTCAAAAATGGATGAGCCTTAATGCGAAAGGTTTCAAAATCGTAACTCGTAAAGAATAAGAAAAAGCGCACTCTTTAGTGGTTATTCTTTATTGGGAACCATAGTGGTGGAAAGAAATGTTTGAAGAAATCCTGTTTACATTAAAAAACTTTTTTTTTCAATCAAAATAAATCTTGCCTAAAGAGAAAACAGATATTTTAAAGTTGCATATATTTATTTCGCCGAAAAAAAATCACGGTTATCCTTTCTGTAACGGTTATATTGGTTTTATTTAGAATAGTGGCGTGAGCAGAAATTATTCTACGGTTGGTTTTTTTGGGTCGAACAATTTGATTTTCAGGGCTCTCCAAAAATACTATTAGGACACTGTTTTTGAAACAATAAGCAAAAAAATGACGTTTTGGAGCCCCCTCAAATTTAATTATATTTAGAAATCTTATAATGTTGGCCAGCTGAAAAATTTGGCAACCGAAATTAATGGAGGGGGCGGTTTATAGCGATGATCACACCTAAAACAAATATAAAAATAGAAATTTTGACAGGTGAGGGGAAAGTGAAAAAGAGCCCCCTCCCCCTCCCCTTCCGGCACATTGCTGATTGAGAACTATCCTAACATCTTATGATTCTCAATAATTTTGAGTATTTGGCATGACTATACTCTTTCAACTGTGACAACATTTTCTGCTCGATTGATTTGTAAAAACAGGAAATAGAGCCCAAAAATGTATTTTACAGACCAGCAGAAGGTGCATCTGGAGCAGTTGGGAGCAAGAGTAGCGTGTCAGAATGGAGGGACACTCTACACGCCCTGGTCGCACTGTACAACACATGTCTGCCCAACATCACCCCAGAACTACTCTACTCCACTGTCTGTTCCAAGGGAGCCAGGTGAACAAAACTATACTGTTCCTGCTCATTTCCAGGGCTCTTTTCCAGTTCCCCCTTTCAAATTCATTTTTGAAAAGCTTATTTATGGTTGTCAGAATGCAATGAAACTTGGGATGGTGAACAAACTAAAAACTTTGAACAGATTTGATCTTCATTCTTGACAACTTAACATCACGCATTTAGCCGTAATAGCACATAAAATAGAAAAATATGAGCCGATATTGGCTAAGGTGGGTCGGTGGGGGGGGGGGGGGGGGGGGGGAGTGTAAAATACCGACTTTTCTACCATTCCTTCTCTCTCTTCCCCTCCAACAAACTAACACCATTTTTTGGGTGCTAGTTTTGATATAACGAGGTTGCATACATAGACTATGCGAGATCGTAATAAACTCACGTGTCAATTTTGAGACAAGGGGACCAGATAGTGCACAGATTTTGAACAGATATTTGTAATACCAAACCGCAGCTTCAGAAAATCCAATTTGAAGTCCGATAAGAAAAGAAAAAATTTGGGCAAATGTCCAACCCAACGAAATCAGACTGAACTTCGTTGTTTTTCGTGGGCCTTTTTCCTTCCCCCCGCCAACTTTTTCGTAATTTTTGTTCACATTGTTCACAAGCAATTTCTATTCACATTGTTCGATTCTTAGAAAAATTTGCGGATTTTTTATTTTTTCCTAGCCTGCAAAATTTTCCTGATAAACTTACTGCTCATATTGTCCGATTATTACAGAAAGTGGCATACTGACTAATTAGGCCATGATAAACACATTTCGACGTAATTGACGCTTTTGGCGAAACGGAAAAAAAGAGCCTTTTTGCAATAAAAATATAAAAGAAACAAGGATAGCCGGTTACTGTGCAAATAGCACAGAAAATACCGACCATAGTCTTAAAAAAAAACAGAAAAAAAAATTGAATTATGTGTGGCTTTTTCTGCGTGGTGTGATAAAAGATCTGAAATAAAATTGTAACTTCAAAATTCATAGCAAAATAAGCAAAACGAATAACAGTTTTTGTAACAAATGACTAGAAAAATAAAAAAAATCATTAAAATATTTTTTAAAATTTTCAAAATTTTTTTTCAATTTTTTTGCAATTTTTTTTTTGAAATTTTGACTTTTTTTGGCGCCAAAACACTCCAAAAAATAAAATAAAAACTTTTACGGCTTAAGTTAAGCAAAATTAAGCTATTGTGAGCCTGCTCGCTCGCATTACCCGCTCAAAGTTATACGAAAAAAAAATCAAAACTGTTTTTCTCGATACAAAGAATTTTTTTGGAAAGTTTCTAATGCTGTTCGAATTACGACGAATGAAAGGCCTGTATTTTGATACATCACTCAACTCGCTCCAATGATTATGTGCGGTAGCTGATTTTGCGTAGAAAGCAAAACACAGCAAAAAAGAAAAAATGAAAAAAACTAAAACACACCCGGGTACAAATTTCTTCCCCATTTTCAATGGTCGGAACAAAAAGTGCTTCCGAAGGTCGGTTTGTTCACCCTGACAAAATGTATTCATAGATCATTAAACAATGGTATCAGCAAACAAAAAACGAGCTGGTCTGTTCAGAAAACTGAAACTGAAATAAACTGTTCAGAAAGCCTCAGTAACCTCAAAAAAATTGAAAGGGGCGTAAAAAAGGCCAACTTGATTCATTTTGTTTCGAGCGATCAAGGTTTTTCTACTGAGTTGGCGATTTTTCTCTTCGAGTGGCATCTTCTGAAGATTTTCAGGACTATTCCAATTTTTTCATAAAGTTGCGCTCGTATTTTAAAACGTGGTCGAGGAAATTGCACATTGAGAATGGAAAATTAAGAAACAAGGGGCTTATATTTTATTGGTGCAATTCTATGGAGATATTTTTTCATATGAATTTTTCTGAACTTTAATTTTTCTTCAATTTGTTGTTTTCGTTTATTAAACAAATGAAATATTCTGAACACATTTTTTCATCATGTTTTACTGTAATTTTTATTAGCCATTATAGCTTGCATAAGGTTCTCAGAATGAAAAATTTCTATGAGCTGCAAAGTGCTGGAAAATCAAACATTTTTTCAATGCAGTTTTAATTATGAGTAAATGAGCTTCAGTGCGATTTTTGATTGAGCCCCGCATACGAGGTTTTATTACATGATTCTCGAAGAAAAAACATGATTTTGTTCGGAGAACATACGCCTAAATCCAAAAATGTGTTTATCTTTAGGGCTTTTCAGAATTTTGATGACATTAAAAGTGATGGTTCACTTCTTCTAAGCGCTCTAGTTTAACATGGCTAAATATCTTGTTGTTTTTTTCTGAAGTGTTTTTTTTGTCTAAATTACTAAGTAATAATTTTTAATTATTTTTCTCAACTAAGAATGAAATGATTAATTTCAGTGTTGTTAAACAAAGTTGCCTTCAACTATATCGCTGGCAAGTGTCGAGGGCATAAAAATTAAGCTTTTACCGTTTCCCCCAACTAGTTATAGATAAAAACATCTATTTTACGGTGTATCCATTCATTTAAGTTGCACTAATTTGAGTTGCATGCAAAATGCATAAGATGTGGCAAATAGACTAAATGTCAATTTCCAGTACCATTGGATAACGCGAAAAATTATAATAACTGACTTTAAAAAACTTAAAATTTGAATTTAATCGATTTAAAATGGACTTTTTAGGCTAATAGTTTGATCTTTTTTGATCCCAAAAAATGATTTAAATCGATTTTGTTGAGATTTTGATACTTTTCACTACCCTGTAAAAATCCATTTGAATCGATTTAAATCGATTTTTCATCGACCTTAAAAATCCATTTAATCCATTCTAAATCGATTTACGTATCTAAATGGGCTATCGTAAATTAATTTCTTTGCAGTATCTTATCTTCTTACAAATCGATTTCAATATCTAGTTGGTCAATATGGGTGGGAAAGTTGGAAAATAGACAAATGAATGAATTAGACATACATTGGTGAATTAGAGAAGTAAATGAATTAGACATAAATTGATGAATTAGACAATGAATAGGTGAGACAACTTGTACTTGTTTTCTATTTTTTGCTAGGACTCTGATGTTAGTGATGTCGCCAGAAGAGGCACTTGAGGACGTCTGTTTCCGCTATGGAGCCCGCAGCCGCCTCGAACACATCACTCTGGGGGAGTCCAACACCGTCTGCAGCTCCTCGTCTGTCGCCAGTCCCTTCTCCACCGCTATGGGAGTCGACAGTGACTACTCTGTGGACTTGTCGAATGGTGCAAACATCGGAGGAGCTAAGGGTGACACAGGTTTGCAGGCCGGCTTTTTTAGTGCTACCGTAGAAAGATCGAATCCCGGACCTGGAGATTCCAAAACTCGGATTCGGCAAAAAGATAATGCAGAAGGAGACAGGGATCCACTGACAGTCGCTGGTAGTTCGAGGAGTAGTCAACATCCAGAGGCGATCCCAGATGATGCGGACAGTCGAAGAAAAGATGAAAGTACTGAGGTTCCAAAAGTGGATGGATGTGGCAGCGGATGGCACCAAGTAGAATACACGGAAGAGGAGGAAGAGGCCGCTCAACAGGTATGTCACTGTTGCGAATCTTACCATTCGTCTTATTTCATTTAATTAGTCTTAAAGTATCTTAACTGGTTAATTTAGATTTGACCTTGTTATCTTCATTCTCTCCGACGGAGAGAATGACCGCTCACTTTTTAATTTTTTAATTTAGAGATTAATTCACTTTTTAAACATATCTTATTTGTAACTAAGTAGAATTATCCGTAACAAAGAAACATTTTATCAGTTACCTTAGTTTCTGGGATAAAACCAAGCAATTTAAGGAACATAATCATACTAAGAAGTAAAATCAGCAACAACAGCCGTCCTTTTGAGCTCTTTTCCATTGTAACTTCTAGCCTTATAAAATGTTCGACTCAAGTTTTGATTAAATCGACAAAAAACCGCGTTTTTGTTCGAAAAAAGCAAACTATGTTTCGACCGAGCCAAAATGTGGACGTCCCTGTTCAACATAATTATGACATAATACGACCAACTCGTCCCAAAACAAAACTATTCTTTTTCAAAATTCGGATTTTTGGGCCTCCGAGCATGATGTTTGCCCTAATCAGTCTCGAATTTCTACTTTTTATGGAGCAAATTGTGACAATGGTTGAGTTGCAAAGACCTTGCAAAGATAAATGTTTGTTTCAAGCCTCTTGACAGTAATCATAAATTGCAAGTTTGTTTTTTTTAACATGAAATTTAGCTCAAATGAGTAATATGTGTTCGATTGTGTTAGACCGGGAACCGGGAAAAATAGTTTTTAGACCGACTCGACCAAAACAAAATGTGCTCAAATTTGTTTCGACGTTGTGTTCGACTAAAGAATAATTTTCATCCACTGATTTGGGTTGAACACTGTCGGTGTTTTCGAGAGGCTCGGTCGACACGTAAGTCGAATACTTCAACTCATGTAACAACTTACTTGAGGCTGTATTATTAATGCGACGCCTTTTGAACACACCGAACCATTTTTCGAGACAACTACAGCTTTTCTGTATAATTGAGTAATTCATATAGGTGTGTCCAAACTGCAGAAAGAGCAAGTATTCCAATGTGTACAGCGACGAAGAAGAGAGTGAAGACAGCCAATCAGAGGGTGTCACGACATCAGATGAGGACGAGGGCGACAGCAGTGACGACGAAGAACAATACATGGTTGGAGCGGACGAGTTCCTAGAACAAGTCCATAAGAGGAAAAAGTTACGCAACCACAATGTAGATAAACGACTAGGATCGAGAGGAATATTCGAGAACAAAAGAGATTCGATGATGAAGAAATGGCCTCCATAAAGTCAGAAACCAAGAAATTCATCGGCATGAGACTTGAAGAGGCGGACAAAAAACTCAGATCTATACTCTATCTAGCCCTCGGAAACGAAGGAAAGAAAATATTCGGCCAAAAGTTCACGAGAGTTAAAGTTCTACAAATTTCTTTCAAAGAATTTTGGGAAAATTTGTCCGTAGCTTTTGTGAGAAAGACAAACAAAACCTTCGAAAGACTCAAGCTTTTAAACAGAAAACAGCGGGACAGAAAATTATTAGAACAGTTTTGGGGGGCACTTGCAGAAATGGCGAAAAGATGTAACATTCCCACAGGAGAAGATGAATGGATTCGAGATATTTTTATCAATAACATGAAGAACTCGGACATCCAACGGAAACTTCTCACGGAAACCCTACCTCCACTAGAAGCCTCAAATGTAGCCCTGATTGACGAAAAAGGAATAACAAACCACATCAAAATGACGAGTACTTTTAAATCCAACGGATATTTTTCCAACAAATCTTTTAATCATTTTAATGTAAAAAGAGAACCCACCCTAAACATCGAAAGAACTAACACATAAATGAAATGCGGCGGAAATTTTACAAAAGGACATCTAGCGGTTTGCGCCGCTAAAGGTACGACTTGTACGACTTGTAAATATCGAGGACATTTTACTAGACTCTGTAAATCACGCCGTAAAAATGTAAATATTGTGGATAGTCAAATTGTAAATAATACAGATCATAATTATCCTTCGGAACAACCGGATGTACATATCGACCACGCTAATAGAGAATGCTGTGGAGTAATCAACGCATGGTCGGAGTCCGGACAGAGCGATAACCATGATTACTCTGTATTAAACGTAACAACTATCTACGACGATCAAGGAAAGGAACTGAAGAAACTACTAAATGTCGGCTTAGGAAATGAAAACCAAGTAATTCTCAATATACAGGTGGATTCAGCAAGCCCTGTAAGCTTCCTTAAACAGAATGTGTTACACGAGTTGAAGTTACGAGACCCTTATGTGAAAATATATCCAGTGGATAAAGCGACTAAAGAACTCTATTGCGGATTTACGAACAATGCAATAATCATCACTGGAAACGTAATTGTCCCAATTTTTTCAAATGGATGGTCTCACAAGGAATGCCACTTCTTCTTAACTCAAGGTCATGAAAGAAACATCTTAGGAAACTTCAATTTACCAAAAGTCGGAATCGAAGTTTCACAAAAACAATACACAACACTCACAAACAAGAGAACTTGTAAGTCTATCAATTCAGTTACCTCACTTGACATAGATAATGAAATAGAAATGATTTCCAAAACCTTCAAACAATTATTCCTTCGGATTGGAAAAATAAAAAATCAAACAAAAATAACACACTTTCACGAACCACTAAAGCCAATTCAACTAAAAGGCAGGAGGGTCCCTTTACACTTACTCGATTCAGTAAAATCAGAATTATACAGACTTAAATCCAAAGGACACATCAAAAAATTAGAAAACTGTGACGAGGATAGATTTATTAGTCCGATAGTTATCACTTGTAAAAAAGACAAATCGATAAAGCTAGCTCTAGATTCAAAATTTATCAACAAACAAATTTACAAGAACAAATATCAGATTCCCAATATACACGAATTAGTGGATAACGTAGCGGCTCAAATTTCAAATAATTCCGCCGGAGAAGTATGGTTTACAAATCTAGACCTAAAGAATGCATATAGTCAACTCTCGCTAGACAATTTTACTAGCAGCCAATGCAATTTTAGCCTAGTTGGCGGAGATATAACAGGCACTTATCAATTTTTAACCGGTTTTTACGGACTCGGCGATATGCCAAACGAGTTTCAAAGAGTCATCGACTCAACTCTGGGAAATATTCCTTTTACAAATTGTTACCTTGACGACATATTAGTCGCTTCCAAAGGAAGTTTTAACAATCACAAGAAAATTGTTTATAAAATTTTATCAACGCTAGATAGTTACAGTTTCGCAGTTAAATGGTCGAAATGCAAGTTCTTCCAAAAAGAAATCAAATGGCTCGGCTTTAAAATATCGAAATCCGGAATCGCCCCACTATTCGATAAAACCAAGGCAATCAAAGATATTCCAATTCCAAAGAATATAAAAGAATTAAGATCATTCTTCGGGTCAACTAATCAGTACATTAAATTTGTACCAAATTTAGCATCCCTCGGAAGCCCGCTTAGACTTCTTTTAAACAAGAAGTCAATTTTCCTTTGGAAGCATTCAAAAGCATCCGATAACATTAAATCAGAACTAGTAAATCTTACTGAAAACACCCACTTCGACGTAAAAAAGCCCACGAGAGTAAAAACCGATGCTTCACATAATGGGTTAGGTGCATCCCTTGAACAACTCCATGAGAACGTTTGGAAAACAGTGTCATTTGCTTCAAGATTTTAAAATCCTCTTGAATCCAAATATTCAACAAACGAATTAGAGTTATTAGGAATTGTATGGGCGGTGGAACATTACAAAAATTATCTCTACGGCTCCGAAATCGAAATTATTACCGACCACAAAGCTCTTTTTTCCGCTTTGTCACCTAATCACGGAAATAAAACGTACCATAGCCGATTGACAAGATGGGTAGATCGTCTTCTACCATTCAATTTTACTATCAAGCATTTAGCGGGAAAAGATATGGGTTTTACCGACTTAATTTCAATAACTCTTTCGGGTAAAGCAATTCCCCCATCACATTACGACGAATAATTCGGAGTTGCAACTACCAAAAAAATATATAATGCACTCAATCCTTTGGATAATGAAAATCCATTACGTAATTCAATTAATTCAATTTCGGAAAATTCCCAGTACACGAAATTACGAAATCACGTAAAAATTACAGCATTGAATTTCGTCAATTCTTTCATCTCAATCTGCAATCAAAAACACTATAGAACAGAATTTTGTAACTCTAAATGTATTCCCTCGGATTTCTCAAGCACCGATTCTACTAAAATCTTTCTATCAAATTCAGCCTTTATTTGTTTTTTAATTCTTAACAGTAGCTTAATTAGTAATCCTTCGGATCTCAAACTTATAAATAGTGTAAATATGTCAAATAACCAAATTGTAGTAAATCCTTCCACTTCCGGGATACAGGTCTCTATTGATTTCCAAATTTCCTCAGAGCACAAAAAGTTAGTAACTAAATTTCGAGAAAACCTCAAGTTACCTGAAAGACCTTTGGATTTAAATACATTATTCAATGCAAAGGTGTTTGCTTTATTAACGGAAGATGAGGAGATGTTAAACCCAATTGTGAAGGCTTTACAGAAAAAACTAGAAAACATCAACGCGAATTCCCGTTACTTACACCAATTTTCGAAAGACCTTCATGAATCCGACGGACAATTATATATGGATGGAAAATTGGTTATTCCGTTTACACTTAGAAACGCCGTTTTAAAAACTTTACATGAATCTCACCCTGGCCAATTCGGTATGAAATACCTGGCACAATATATTTGGTGGCCACATATAAACCGGCAAACTTACTTCCACGGGATTAATTGCACACAATGCAACCAAACCGGTAAGAATATAAAAAGCATCATACCAACTACACAAATTAGCGAACTTCCCGCTTTATTTGAACCTAATGAGGAATTAAACCTTGATTTTGCCGGCCCATTAGATAACAACTGGGGAAACAATAAATACATCTTAATATGTATAGATCGGTTTTCAAAATTCCCATCAGCAAAAATTACATCTTCAACGTCATCAAACACGGTAATCGAATTCCTTCAAGATTATGTTTATCTCCTTGGGATTCCTAGCTCTATTCGTGTTGACCATGCATCCTGTTTTACTAGTCAGGATTTTAAATTATTTTGTAATTCTCTTAATATCAAATTAATATTTTGTACAGTTGGGGACCATCGTTCTAACGGTCTTGTAGAAAAACTTGTTCATACTGTAAAAATCAAATTATTAGCAATGTCTTTAGAACAACAAAAACCTACATTACAAACTGCCATTTCGAAAATCATTTGGATTTTACGATCTTCCTTTCAATCAAAAATAAAATGCTCACCGTTCAACGTTTAATAGAAAACCGAACACGATCTGGAAGCAATTGGCATCTAGTAAATTATCCGGTGGATTTTTAGACAAAAGCAAGTCGATCTTAAGCAGAAAAAGGGCCCTTGACTGGAACGCTGACGATCGGATAGAGGACGGATACAAAGACTTTCTTGTACCGAAAAAGAACCAGTCACCATTGGAGAAAGGTTACGACTCAGACCTTTCTACAACCTCAAAACCTTCATCTTCCCGAGTGTCCTTAAACAGTCCGTTTAAAGCTAATTTACTACGAAAAACCAACGGAAGTATAAATGAAAATCCCTTCTATAAACAACTAGGTCAGAAAATAATAAACTCAACAAAATCCACGGTTGAACTATCCGACGGAAAAATCATTAGAAAATCGGACATCGCCATCCCAAAGTCTAAATCCTCTACAATCCGTTCATTCAAAAGAAATATCTCTTTTCCCTCTTTTTCTAACAGTGATTTACAAGTAGGTCCAAGAAAGACAAACAAATTGAAGACAAAAAAGACGCGGAAACCAGACACTAAGACAGGACGACACACAGAGTCTTTCACCCCGGTCACCACCAGATCTAGAGGAACGAAACAGCCTACTAAATTCAATAAATCGAAGCGAAACCGAAATAAAGCCTCAACTTCGAACACAGGATACTTAGCAGGTGATGAATCCTTGTTCATTCCGTCGGATACGTCAGACATTAGTGATTGGGAATGGATTGCGGGAGGTTTTCCATGCAGAGAAATGATAAAAAACGCTTCATTTCAGATAACCTCATTTTTAACGAAGAATCTACCCCATCATTAGATCCTCAAACATATCAAACTAATATAAAATCTGAGATTTTAGACGAACAACTTCAATCTACAGATACAGCGGAATGCCCAATTAGTATAAAGCCAGCACCTCAAACTACCTCACACCCACCTGGCGAATCTTCTACCGCTACGACAACAGAGGGCCCAAACACTCCTTCGGATTCAACAAAAGCATTGGAAGGAGAAAACCCGGTCGAATTTCCAGTCTTTGAGATAGAGGACTCCTCTGACGAAATTGCAACTAGTGAGGAAAGACATCCTAAGGAAATTACTATCACCGGCAATGAATTTAAATTAAGACGTTCAAGTCCAAATGTTGGTCCCCCACAATTCTATGGTAAGCGATATTACATAGATATTATAGGCGAGTTCGAAAACCAGGCTCCACTAATAACCCTATATCTCTGGACGAGGGTGACAGTTCGGGCTCCCCTACACAAACCTTCAGAGAGAATCCCTCGGATAACCAGACCCACATTTGCGACACTCTACCGGAGGACCGTGCACCGGGCCCAGCGTACCCTCCATCTCCTGATAAATTCTCCATCGCCTCTACTGACGAATCCCTGAGAGATGCGGTGAATAGTTTCGACAACCACATCGACTTAGACAGTGAAATTTTTAACGCCGAGCTAGAAAAATTCATGGAAGGGGACAGCTAAACTCAATCAAAAACTTGAAAACTCGCATTTAGTCATTTTTAATCGTACTAGTATTTCGTTTCAGCGCAGTTAGAGTTTACCTATTTATAACTAGGGATTATAATCCGCCGGAATTAGGAATTATATCATTCTTTCTAATTCAGTCATTCCTTTGGAGCACTAAAATTTCATTTGTTATATCGTGCAGTATTTAATTTTCAATCCTTGTTGGACTTCTCGAGAGGGAGAAAAAGGGTTAGATAACATGTTATGTATCATGGCGCTTAGTACTTTAATTTTTTTTCCCACTAAGGGGAATGTTGCGAATCTTACCATTCGTCTTATTTCATTTAATTAGTCTTAAAGTATCTTAACTGGTTAATTTAGATTTGACCTTGTTATCTTCATTCTCTCCGACGGAGAGAATGACCGCTCACTTTTTAATGTTTTAATTTAGAGATTAATTCACTTTTTAAACATATCTTATTTGTAACTAAGTAGAATTATCCGTAACAAAGAAACATTTTATCAGTCACCTTAGTTTCTGGGATAAAACCAAGCAATTTAAGGAACATAATCATACTAAGAAGTAAAATCAGCAACAACAGCCGTCCTTTTGAGCTCTTTTCCATTGTAACTTCTAGCCTTATAAAATGTTCGACTCAAGTTTTGATTAAATCGACAAAAAACCGCGTTTTTGTTCGAAAAAAGCAAACTATGTTTCGACCGAGCCAAAATGTGGACGTCCCTGTTCAACATAATTATGACATAATACGACCAACTCGTCCCAAAACAAAACTATTCTTTTTCAAAATTCGGATTTTTGGGCCTCCGAGCATGATGTTTGCCCTAATCAGTCTCGAATTTCTTCTATTTTTTATGGAGCAAATTGTGACAATGGTTGATTTGCAAAGACCTTGCAAAGATAAATGTTTGTTTCAAGCCTCTTGACAGTAATCATAAATTGCAAGTTTGTTTTTTTTAACATGAAATTTAGCTCAAATGAGTAATATGTGTTCGATTGTGTTAGACCGGGAACCGGGAAAAATAGTTTTTAGACCGACTCGACCAAAACAAAATGTGCTCAAATTTGTTTCGACGTTGTGTTCGACTAAAGAATAGTTTTCATCCACTGATTTGGGTTGAACACTGTCGGTGTTTTCGAGAGGCTCGGTCGACACGTAAGTCGAATACTTCAACTCATGTAACAACTTACTTGAGGTTGTATTATTAATGCGACGCCTTTTGAACACACCGAACCATTTTTCGAGACAACTACAGCTTTTCTGTATAATTGAGTAATTCATATAGGTGTGTCCAAACTGCAGAAAGAGCAAGTATTCCAATGTGTACAGCGACGAAGAAGAGAGTGAAGACAGCCAATCAGAGGGTGACACGACATCAGACGAGGACGAGGGCGACAGCAGTGACGACGAAGAACAATACATGGTTGGAGCGGACGAGTTCCTAGAACAAGTCCATAAGAGGAAAAAGTTACGCAACCACAATGTAGATAAACGACTAGGATTAAACTTGGACCACATTGGAATTGAAAACCGGCTTTTTGCTTCCATCACTTTTGAAAAACGAATTCTAAACAGCGAATCAATCTCTTATCTTACAGTGCTGAGCGTACGCAGGCGTTGGCGGGGATTGAAACTCGGCCAATTTTTGGTCCAGCTTGTGATTAAGCTGGCAGGGAGTTCGGACCCTTTGATAGTTCTCGCAGACGATGATGCAATCGAGTTCTTCGAGAAGCAAGGCTTCCTTCATGATCCCATGATCTGCAGTAAGTACGACGAACTTAAAAACGAAGGCTCTTGGACCAACTGTACTGTCATGGTTAAGCTACCCAAACTAATTCCAGAAGCCAAAGAACTGGAAGAAATGGATATTAAAGATATAGAAAACGTGGTCGAGAAAAAAGTGGAAAAATGGCAGCGACATGCGTTGAGTCTTTATCAAGAGCAAGTGTCCTTAATCACTCAATTGAAAAAAGAAATCATAGCTGGAAGAGAAAAAATGAAAGAACAGCAGAAAAAGATCAAGCTATTAACCGACGAACTAAATCAGCAATACACGAACGAAGTTAGAAATAATTCGGCCTCAAAACTAGACGAAGTCTCACGGAATGAAGTAAGTTTGGTCGAGTCACAAATTGAAAAGTTGAACTTGGACACAGTTTTGAAAGAAATGGAGCAATATGGAAACGAAAGAAGTTCTCAAATATCGAATCGAGGCGACTCCTCAAATGAATACATAGTCGTCACGCCTGTTTCCAGCCAAACTTCGGACAAAACCCGAACAATTTCACCACCCGAAGTTTCAGTTAGAGACAAAAAAATTGCTTCTCTAGAAATCACAAATAAAACACAGGAAGAGAACCTCGAAAAAGTGATTAAAATGTTTAATTTAAGTTTGAAAAACTCAAACATGCATCTTTTCAACCAAATCAAAGTCGTTCATGTTCATCGAATTCTGAGAGAAGAGACGAGCCCAATTTATTTTGCATGTGATGATGAGGAAGAATGGACTCCTATGTTTTACAGCGGCTCTATCTTGTCGGTGTCAGACATCAAAGGCATTCGGGACAGGGGGAAATTTTCGAACTTCAATTTCACTTATGGCGACTATGGAATCGGACTCTACTTTTCTCGTTTCGCCGAAGTGGCCGTGAAATTCTCGAAGCTGAACGCAATTGTAGTAGCTTCAGTGAAAACCGGCAAGGGGCTCTTTTTTCTTACATTAACTTGTGAATCTTTTTTTGTCTCAAATATTAGCCACGTTTTATGGCTAAGTAAAGCAAAAAAATATTTAAAAAATCAGAAAAAAAAATTTTTCTGGAAATTTGTTTTTTGTCTTTCAGTTTTGCTTACAAAGTTATATATATCGATCGAAACATTCTGTGAAACTTAGTTTTCTAACTGTGTCTATTAAGAAAGGGATAGTTTTGATTAAAAAAATATTGAAAAAAGAGCCATTTTAGGAGTTCAAACGTCTACTTTGAAAGCGGACTCGAACAGAAGAAGTGCGGGAGACAACTTTGACTCGCTCTGGACTCCTGGACGTCTAAGTGGCACTTTGGGGGGATCTCCCAGGAGAGATCAAGCAGCTTCTTCTTCTTCTTTCTCTTCAGATACTAATGCCGGCGGAAAATGTCAAGAGTTGCTCATATTTGACACTAAACGAGCAGTACCGACACATGTCATCGAATACGTTTTCAAGTAAAAACGAATAATTGGCCAACAGCACAAAGTTTCAATCATTCGAGTAGGAATAACGATTCAGGCTGTTCATATCTTTCGGTTTCTCATGTTAATATGGGAAAAAGCCAGAAAAGGTCAAAAATAGCCTAAAACGAGACTACTCGCAAAAATATCATTGCTGAATCACACTCTAAATTAAAAACTCACCAAAAAAATTGCAATAAAATTTGCCAATCGTCTGAATATAATGCAATTGTAACCTCTTCTTCATATCAATGACTGTTTGTACCTATTGAATTTGCATTTTGAAATTTATACATGTTTCGGATGTGTGAGGTTTGATTATGTTCAAGTAGAAAATGAAAGTCACTGAGCCTTTCCAGGCCAGAACATAAACCGAAGTGAGCAGTGAGCAGTAGCGGATTTCGGGGGGGGGGGGGGTTTCTAAAAATTGTCTGCGGCGCAGAAAATTTGGTCAAGTTACGGTCTTTATAGTGTTTTGAGAGAGCTCAGAAAATCAATTTGGTCGACCTCGAAAAATTTTTTTTTTGAAAATCCGCCCCCCCCCCCCGAGAAATTCCTAGATCCGCGCCTGAAAGTGAGGCAAACTTTTTTTTCGCGAAATCTCCAAATTTTGGATAATTTCAAATGTTGCGAGCGAAAATGGGTGAATATTTTTTCATTTGGGTGAACCTAGTTTTTTTTTTTCAATGAAATATCTCCTCGGTTGCTCACGCTTAGTTCTCCTTTTTTTGCGAGTAAGTTATCATTTTGTTCTAGTGGGAACTCAAACCTAATAAAATAGAACTGGCACAAATCTGGTAGATCCAATTCTTACAGTTCCCAGTGACTTTAAAAAATAGTAAATATAGCCTGGGTAACAGGAAAACAAAAAATATTTAATGATTTTTTTGCTCCAACAATAACGCTTTTTATAACATTTTTTGACCCATAAACTTTAACCCGGATTACTCGAAAAACAATTTAAAAAAATTTCTTAACGCCTTTGAGGGTGACGACAATTACTTCATTGGCAACAGGCAGTAGCTGTTTAATCACAATTGGTTTCGTATCGCTTATAAGTATCGGATAATCTATCGACTGGAAACTCGATATATCCAATTGAGCTACTTACACAAAATATTTCGAATTTCAGCATTCTGAAACAACGTTTTTCCACTGATTAAAAAAAGTGTGCCACCATGCAAGCCTTATTCATGAAACGAAAGACAAATAATATACTTTTTTATGTTTATTTACCTTTTATTTTTATGTTTAACTTTGATTGTCCCAACTTTGAATAAGATTTGCGATATTGTACAAGGCTACGGTCTCTACTGCAATGGATCTCTATTTTGCAAATCAAAATAAAAAATATATTTCCCATCTGTGAGCGAAAGTAGTCTGCATATAAACAAAACTATAAGCTGCATCGGTTACATTGCAATAAGCATTTTGAAAAACTTAATAAGTAACTGAAATTATTTTAAAATATTTCTCTATGAAGTCTTTCAAATGCATTTTACTTTCTCAAGTATTGATTCTAATTGAAAAAATGTTCTTATAGATATTTTAATAGAAATTTTACATATCTACTTAAACTGTGCACTACACAAGTATTCTAAAAGAAGAAATTTAACAGGAAAATACCTAAGTTTACAGGGATTTCATTTGGAGGAATAAAACTAGTCAAAAACTAGTCGAAAGCCCATTGAGTTTCTTTATATTGGTTGTTGCAGAAAATACTCGTCAAAACGAAAATTAAATTTCACCGCTCCAAATAAGCAGAAAGATATAAAAAAACTAATCATAAGCATTGTGAATTGCGTATGAGAAGATTCCTAAAATTCGCTGCGAAATAAACTTGAAAGATTAATTGTTTCAGCATAATTAAATTTTGAAAGTTAAATTAACCCGGCTGGACCAAAAGTTGCTTTTTTAGAATTTTTTTCATAAGAATCTTACCACTTCTTTTAAAAGTATGCTCCGAAAATGTTACAAGATAGGGATTTTTTTATTATGAAAGTTGTTCTTACAGAAAAACAGGGAGGTAGAAACTTTTCCCACAAAAAGTTTCCAAATTTTTTTGCATGTTTATATTTAATTTTTCTAATAAAGTTCCCCACTGTCACAGAGTACAATAACAGAAACGCGTAGGCTAAACGACTCGTTTTGTCACATGTGTTTGCTAATGTAACGAACTTTATAGTTAGTTTTGTTTTACTGATAACTGTCTCTAAAATAATTTCGAACCGGTAATTACGTATATGCAGGAGATTTAATGGAAAAAAATTAAATTTTTTGTTTTGGAATTTTTGTTCAAAATGCATAAATTATAACCACTATCTCATAACTTCACTAGCTGATAATAATTTTACACTAAGTTATTTGGTCAAGGAATCAAAAGGCGATCGAAATTTCAGATTTGTAATTTTGTTAGGTTATACGAACCAGCCTTACAGTTTACTGTTATCAAATCGGCGAAATTGTTCAATGAAAGGAGGTCGATCGGGCAAAAAAAGTTTTTCCAGAAAATCGTTTTCACCAACCCGAAGCTGTATTTCGAAAACAGAAGCACACCAACAGCAAATCAACCAAAAGGAACCGTGAAAAGTGTCGTTAAACTCAACAAAATCAGCAAAAGAAGATACACATTTGTGATGAATTCTGATGTTCGGATATCAAAGAGGAAAACCAAATGTTACAGCTATTTTTAATGGTTTTTTGTTAGAAGTCAACAAAAAACGAAAATTTCCTGAATTTTTCAGCACACTTATATTCACGCTCAGAATCGCAAAAAAAAATAAATTGCAAAAACCAAAAATACGAAAAATAGAATGAAACCGTCTCTAGAAATTAAACTAAAAAAATCAAACTCCTTGCCGCTTGAAACTTTCAAATACACAATGTCTAGTTGTTTTTATAGAAAAATGGGTTGACTTTTAAGATGCAGTTATTTTTAGGACTACATTCTTAAAAAACTATATGATCGAATAGAATGTCAGAATTTTTTTAATTAGTTATTCTCAGCGTTTTCTAGAAACTTTTGAGTGCCAAAGAAGTGTTGAAGTTGCGAAATGTATAATAATGAAAAGAATAGTCGTCTAACTTTAATTGCAAAGCAACTGTAAGGTATCAAATCTAAATCTTACTGCACCTTTCTGTTTTAGCTCGTACCGGACAATAGATATCGCAAGGTCACGACTGCAGGTCTCCAGACAGAAAGAAACAAACTCATATAACTTACATAAACTCAAACTGGTCCCTATCTCATTCGGGCAAGCACAAATAAATTTTAGATTGTAGATGGAAAATTTATCAACTCATAAATTTCTCCCTAGTTTTACTGAACAGTTTTAGTTTCAACTTGAGTTTTTAGGCATGCTTGCCAAACCTCTCCCAAAGTTTTGTTTTTCTCATTTGTGTTCGATCCGGTGAATCATCACTCCATCGTTTTTGTCGACTCCTCTCCGTTGTCGCGTTGATCTGCGCGTTGCCTCCTCGCTCAGCTTTCTCTTATTACCGACGGTTTTCGGTGTTTTCCTTTAACGGTTCCCGACGGTTCCCGACGGTTCGTTCGCCCGGCTCGCTGCAGTTTTCGCGGCTTCGCTCTCGCGCCCCACGACTGCCCATTTGCTCTCCTCCTCTTCGTCACTCTCGTCTTCGCGGCTCTCGACTATCTGACTTTTCTTCGTTTTCCGATTCTCATTGGTTTTTCGCACTCGTTCCATTTCTAAATGGTCCCCTTTCAACTTTTCCGCTTGCCTCTTATGCCCCGTAGGCTTGCTTGGACCCGGGGTGTTAGCGTCGGTCCCCTTCTCAATTCGGCTTTCTTCAGCCGCCGATCTAAATGAAACACCACTTCGCCTTAGTAACGATCCTTTTTTTCTATTGCACCGTATGTTTTGTCAATTTTTCAATTTTTAATGATAAACGTTTATACCTTCTTGGGTCCTTTGGATCCGTTTTCCCGGTCCTCTGATATACCGTCGTGGTACTGGTTTTATGTCGCTTGAACCACTCTGGTGCCTTAGGCAACTCTTGAGCCTTGGGATCCACTTCTTTGACTTTAGGGTCCACGTCCGTTTCAATCAGATCGTTCTCCTCCAAAACCCTTGGTGTTTTGCGGCTTTCCGGGGCGTACACGAGATCGCTACGTTTCTCCCAATCGAGATTCAGTTCCAATTCGGCTGGACCACTTGCCTTGTCTAAGCAAGATAATTTCAGGCTAATGACATTTCTCCAATTTAGGTTTTTCAATGATGGCTTTTTCGTCAAATTTTGAAAAGCGGTATTTGCTTCTCTTCCATGATAGGCCTCAAATGGCGTTAGCTTAGTTTTAGAGTGCGGCACAAATCGTAAAGCGCTCAGTGCACGGGATATCATCAATCCAAATTTTTAGTTCTTATTTTCCTGAAGATATGTTAAAACGTAATTTTTTATCGAGCCAATGCCAATGGTACTTTCGACCATTCCCGTAGCGCGGTGGTCCTTAACTGGAAATTTTATAAGTTCAATGCCCTCATAATTACAAAAGTTTTGTATGTCATTCGAGAAGAACCCAGTGGCCTGATCCATATGTAATTTCCTTAGGTGCCCATGTGTGTTTATGTATTTCCTTAGGAATTTCAATACGTTTTTAGACTTGTTACTTGAACAGACATAAGCCGACGGCCAATGTGAGAACTTATCTACTGCTACTAGAACATATTTCTTCCGACCCTTTACATAAAGTACAGGACCCCAGAAATCTAATTAAACCAGATCATTAGGTTCCCTGGGTACATATGTTTCCCCCATATCATTTTTTGGAATGTCCGGTTTAAGGTTTTTACCTGCTTCTAGGCAGCTTTTACAAAACTTGGCTGTGGCCGCAAGGTTCCCCTGCATGAGCGGTATCCAGACGTCCTTCGCCGCCGCGAACCTTTTGTCCCGCCCATGATGGTTGTGATGCAATCGGTTTAACACTGCTGACGACATATCCTTCGGTATGGCCAGCCGACCATCCATCCACAAGCAGTTTTCGCGCACAGCAAAATTGTTGTAATGTTGAGCGTAATTTTGCGCCAATCTAGTATTAATGTCCTTGGTGCGTGGGTCCTTGTTTCGTATCGCGTCGCGGATTGTTTTCAATATCGGGTGCTTTTCCAAGTTAGCTTCAACTAATTTCAAATTCAGAATCTCAGGATAATCAATTTTTTTAACTACTCGACTATCAGTAGGCACTATTGAATAAAACCATTTATCGCTTTGCACAAGGGGATAGGATAATCCGGGGAACTGATGGGGGGTTGAAATAACTGTGTTTAGTTTTTTCGAATTAGTCGTTTTCGGAATAACTTTATCTG